GAAGTCTACCAATTTAATCCTTTGGGACACAAAAGACACCCTGGTGTGTGGATGGAATTAAGACGGAAAAGCGATAACATTTCTATTCTAAAAACAAATAAAAATAAAATAAATTTTGATTTAATACAACACAAAAAAAATAACAACAGAAAGAAAAGCAACAAGCATTATTTTCAACATCAAGACAGTTATACAGACAGGTACCCGGTAGGTAGCAAAGTAGACTATAAACATAAAGGGGTTGCAAGCAAATGAGAGAAGTTAAGGTTCCTTACATTATACATGCACTCTTTCACTTTGTTAACATTAAATTAAAGAATACATTCAGTCTTATATGTAGAAGCAACTCAAAAAGCAGATGGGTGGAGGGGAGAGAAACAGATTGCATGCAGTATTGATATTATTTTGTTGACAAAATAACAGTAACATCCAGTTTGATTGCATATGACCACTTAAATATTAAGATTGGTAAGTATGCAACAAAGGACAGAAGAGCATGTCTATTGCATTGCTGTGAGTCTGGAGACATGTGTAATAAGTTATTAACACTGTCTATGTATTATTATTTACCGCAATGTCTCACCTTGGTGGCAGTGCTATGGGCAGTACTGTGTCAACCACAGTCGATGCTGACAATGCAATAATGCAGCACACTTGTCGCATGGCATGACAAGCGTTCCTATATTCAGTATGTACAAAAAAAATTCACGGCATTCTGTCGATTGTTGTAGTAGTATAAAAATTATCTAATAATAGGGCCTGAAAGTCACAAAAGTGGTCATTTAGTTTCAGCTTACAAGGCAGTTATTAGTTTTGGGTTTGAAATTAGGTGCTAGCAACTACAAAAAGTTCAAGCCAGGCAGAGTGATAATAAACCCTAAACATTTGTATCTGTTGAAAGGAATGACTCAAAGATAAAAACTGAAAAACTTTTACTCAGGACAGATTACACACTGATCAGAGTTCAGTTTGTCAGACATTGCTAGCAGGCAACTTTACCCTGGACACTGTTAAAAGGAGTTTTATCCATTGAACTACTTCACAAAGCACATGTAAATTGATTTATACTCAAAATTATCAACCATGCATGAACCAACCTACAAATATACAATAATAACCTCCCTACTGATTGTTATATAGGATACTCATCCTACGGTGAGTCTAGGCCACATTATCATGCATAGAATTATCTCCAAATCCAATACAGCCCTGTAAAAATTGTATTTTACTGTTATTTTATAATGCACCCTATGGACTATGGCAGCTGGCATCTGTCGGAAATCTATGTACCAGCCATATCATCAGTGCTTAACACACAGTTCAGATGTATCTAGATGATATTGATGTATCTAGACGATATTGATGTATCCAGATAATATTGATGTATTCCGACACTATCAGTGTATATCACACAATAGTGATGTATCCAGATGGTAGCAATTTAACCAAGTAGTGATATATCCAGACGATATACCACTCGTCAATCAACAACACCTCAGTAGACAATACCAGTACGTATATTGTGATATACAACCGTAAATACATCTGTACAAAATGCAGCGAGTAGTCTTCATTTCTTTATATACACTATATATAGCTCATATCTATTTTCTAGGTTTTCATTGCTATAAGTATTACTATAAGAATTATTATTATAACAGCTAAGACCATAATAAATAACATCTTTTTGTTCTTCTTTTGGTATTTTTCAGCCTGTAATACAGAATATATAACTGTGGTTAGGACATGTCTGTTTGTTGCATGTGTGAGAATTATTCTAAAATTATTCTCAATCGTTTTTCTTCAGCCATGAAGAGTCTCCACATAGCTGAATATTCATTGTTTTTTTAAGATTTGTGTAAAAAAATTTAAAAATCTTATTATTCAGGGGTTGCGAATAATTTAAATTGCACACATCAAACCTAATCACCTTGCTTTGGAGAGGAGAAGGTTGAAGGTGATTTCTATTACTGTATGTAAAAATCGCACCACCGGTAATTTGTTTTTGATGGTTGTTCAATTCTTCCCATTCCCTTAGGGAGGGGCAAGTTGAATCTTGCACAAAAAAGATTATGTTTGCTCTGCACACATTTTCATTATCCACATCCTGTTAGTATGCAATTATTTTGGGGGGAATAAATTTGTTCACAGTTTCTGTAATTTTCATTGAATTCAATCTTAAATTTGAATGAAACAGAACACAATGTGACATTACTTCAAGCTTTTGATCAATAAATTTTAAATTATCACAACATTTTATGTAGAAAAGAGCAGACTATAACTGAAAAGAGCAGACTATAACTGAAAAGAGCAGACTATAACTGAAAAGAGCAGACTATAACTATTTTGTGGATGGTGCTTCTACACTTTTCCACTCAAAAGGTTAAAAGTATAAACTTACTCCCACGTTGATTTTGGCAAACAAATGAACAGTATGGATGAGGTCACTATAAAGTGAAGTTACCTTTTGCAACTGCTTCATTCCTTGCTGTACTGTCGTGGTCGTTTTTTCAATGTTATAATCTATCCTATCTAAAATTGTACCCTGAAAATGAAATATGTCGTATAAATGAGAGAAATTAAACATTGTGTGGCTCAGATTTACTAGCAAGGCCAATCTTTTGTATGTAATATCACTGTATTTTTCTGCAGTGATGCATGAGCTAATATCCTCTGGTGTACAAATAAATAAATTTCTTTGAAAAAAAAATACAGCTTTAGAGAATAATTGAGAAATCAATGAAGAAATTGGAAATACTTTACACATTGACAGCCGCACAAATTTTTACTCAATATATATATATATATATATATATAGACGTTGATCTCTATTAGAGCAAATAAGATGCCAAGGACATAATTACCTGTTCTACCACCATAGTGGCTAAATCTCGGAATACCTCGTTGAGATCTGATATAGACTGGACAATATGCTGGATAGCTTTGTCTCGTTCCTCAACAAGAGCAGTGTTCTCTGCAACCATCTGTATATGGCCTTCTGAAAAACCCTGAGGTAAAAAAAGGATAAATGATCATTATGATCATCAATTTTCTCTAAAAGAGTCACTGTCTCCTTGAGACCCATTATTTTACACTTGAAATGCATTCCCATTTCTTGAACTTGAACACTTTCATGGTTGTCAACTTTAAACCTTTGAGCATCATAATTTTTCCCACCAACATTTTGGTGCGACATTTCGCCCGTTATATGTATTTAAATTGACATAGCTTCTTATTTCATTGCTACAAGTATTGATTTTGGGAAAATTATAAAAAAATTATGTGGGTTTAACTTTTGTGATGGTAAAAAAAAAAGATAACTTTGGAGCTTAAAAAGTTAATAGTCACTCCCACAGAATAGTTGCATTCAAAACTTGCTGTGTTCCTAAATAATGATGATTGAAATTCAAAATTGTTCATGAAAATTTACGAGTGACAGTCAAACAATTATGGAAAACACACAAACCATAGGAATGCAGTATTTAGGTTTTCACAATAAGAATTATAAATGAAATTAACATGGCATATCATACGTACTTTATCATAAAGTTCATCATCTATTAGATTTTCTTCTGCCATTAACGAACTGCCCGGAGACATACCAGTATCAAAGAACTGTTTCGCCCTTTCTTCTCGACTTTTCATCCCTACAACAGAGTAATATAACGATTGATACACAAGCATTCCGTAAAATGTTGTCTTTGCATTAATTTGAAACGTATTTGTACATTCAAATTTACGTCACCAACACTGAACGGTTCCAGAATATTTATGTCATACTCAAAAACTGTCCTTACATCAGATAATTTAGATACAATCCAAGAAATAAATGAGAGTAGTCACACATGTACAAATTTGGTTAATAATTTGTCACTGGAATTTCGGGCCGTTTAATATGTATCACTAAATTATTCCAGATTCCAAATTGATAAAAATGCTTTAGAGGAAATTTAGAAGGAATTTTAAAATTAAAATAGCCACCATTCAGCCATCTTGAATCTGATGGTCAAACAAATATACCTGCATATGTGCAACAAGATGTATGATGTATATATAAAGTTTGAACATAATTAGTCAAGGCATGTCAGAGATACAGGTCTGGATGGACTGACTGATGCATACATGGAGGTGAATCCATAAGTCCCTGTTTTCGTAGTGCATCTGAATGGATATTATTATTATAATGTAGGTATGCCCAAACAATATCCTGATCCACAGTCAGTTCCTAATATCCTTAGTTCTTGAGATAACCAAGATAAGACAACTTAAGTAAAAACGTTCAACTTCTTATGTAATCCTTATGTTGCCAAGAAGTGATACAAGTTCAAATATATCACATATACCACTTACTTTTTAAGTATGCAGACTGGCCTCGCCTAAAATTTATTGATAAATCTTGTAAACTAGCTGCTAATGAAGACATAATATTTTTAGTAACTTTCCGTTCTTGTGGGGTAGCCATTCGACTTTTCAGTCCTATTTGCTGTATGTTCCGCTGGCATCTATGGAACATCTGAAGAATAGAGAAATAAGAATAGCATCAATACACAAGATATGGGTATAAACTACAATGTACAACTCAATATGTACGGCTCAATGGTGAACATGTGTTTTGGAGAGTAGGATAAATTTAATGAAGGAAGGAGTTCATTTTCTGTTCAACACATTGAATGACCATAGTGCCAAATACGCTACTATTAACATATGATGAGAAACTTGTGACACCTTTAATGTGTTACTTTGGTAATTAGGTAATTTTGGCTGTTAACAATCTGTCATGAAAATTCTAAACACGGTAACTGTAAACTGCCATACACTTGATGATGATGGTATGTGGTTGTACATATCTGATATTAAAATTGCATTTGAAAATGCCAATTCAGATCTAAGATTTTAAGGATTGCAGCCAACATATGTTTAATATGTTAAATTTTGCTGAATTATTCATTGTGACTGTCTATTCTTAAGTCAGAACAAAAATTGGCGTACCCAAATTAGTTTTTGAATTACAAGCCTTAAGCTGTATGTATTTTGACCAATTTTCATTTCAAAATGGCCGCCGAAGCAGGGCTTACCACTGTTTCCATGGAAACAAGTTTGAGCACCTCTACATTTCATTTATTCACAATTACAAATTTTTCAATTTCTAGCCGTGAATAAAAGAACTATACTAGAACACAAAGGAACAGATCCTATAATTTGATTCTATGATGACATCGCTAGAGGCTACCATATAAAAATCAATACTCTAAGTAATTACATTTGTATAAGGTTTCTCAATAGAGTGAAGTAGATAATAAAAATACTTGTTTGCTACACTCACAATTTCCATCAGAAAACACAGCACGGATATAGAATACTGGTGACGAGTGTCCATAGAACAGTATTATATTCACTAATTTGTGCAACAAAGTAGCAATAAAAGGAGAATAATTGCTAATTTAAAATACTTTAAAGGTCATGGCAGGATAAAATAAAGGGATATTGAGACATATAATAATATAGTCTGGGGAATCTAATGTATGTACGACAAGCAGAATAATCACTGAAGCGTATCGTGTCATATAATGTTATAATACCTCAATCAGACATGAGAGCCACCAAGTGAATATTATTATGCGGCTGAGGAGTTTCATAAATTTAATTTGAGGACTAATGTTAGAAGATAGAGCGGCATCTTAAATCTCGAACCTTGTATAGTAATAATCAGAATTCACAATTTTTGAGTAAACAGTAACATTTCCTTCAGTAATAATAAGTTTATTATGGTAGGTTACCTACTTTAAACGGTCACATATGTTCTACATTACACTTACAGTATGATTATGATTAGAGTCATCATTGTCTTGTACATGTATTGTGTATCCAAATATTTCCACTTGAATACTGTAAGGAGGTTAATTATTCACTGGGTTTTAATTAATTTTGCTTATTTCACTGACTGGGAAATGCGCTAAAATCAAAACCCAGTGAATATGTATAATTTAGCATAGAACACATTATCTAAATGATAAAACCGTGAATTTGTAACCCACTGAATATGCCTGAAATGGTAAATCAGCGAAATTTAAACCCAGTGAAAATTAATCATTTTACACTAAGTCAGGTGGTGATACACACTGGCAAAAATACAGATTGCTTTAATATGTTGGGCAACTGATATAAATGCAAAAAGCCTTATGTATGACCTACATCCAGCACTTCCAGGAGGTATTTTTTTTCTATAACATCATTAACTTGCAATATTTTAAGACCGAAAAAAAGTGTATTTGAACTTCTACTGTTATGTTCTATTAATATGCTCAGTGTGACTACTGGAGTTGTATAATAAGTAGGGAGTTGAGAGTAAAAAAGTTATATTTATCACCTGTGTGGTCTCTTGAGTTGTAATTTCGATTGCATGTTCTTCGTCTACATTGTCATCTAAAGTGGGTCTATTCAAGTATTTATCATGTAAACTAGAAAGTTCTTTCACTGCAATGAAGACATAAACACCAATTATTAAAAGCGTACATTTATCACATTTTTTCAATGTATATATAAACTTAGATGGAGATTATTAATAAGAATAGTATCATCACATACTTTTTTGTTTTATCCTTGTAATATCATATTGAATTTCTTCCAAGAGATCAACCCTGTCAAGGAAAATCAGAAACAATTTTGGGTTAAAACAGTTCAATATGCATTTATATGTATTCAGTTCGGAAAGCACCAGTGTCTTTATTTACAGTGACTATACCTGTGCTATGCAGCCAAGGCAAACAAAAAGCATGTCTGGTAGCTACAATTGTCTTATTTTGCCAAAATTGTTGTTATATTTTTAGTAATTTGGGTTAAAAATTACATTATATTCCTTGTATACAATAAATCAACTTTCTGTTCGGCTTTGATCAGAAGAGCACCCATATCATATATAAACAATTTTGTTGCTTTCAATTTGGTGTAATCATGATATGTTGAGCTGCTTTTATAACTTTCCACTAAACTAGTACATGTATATATAAAGCCAGCACTGTAATTTCCAACTGACTATTCCTAGAACGTGTTGAATGCTTGATAGTCAAAGTTTGCCCCAGAGCAGTGGCAAGAGTTATTGAATAAATTCTGAGGAGATGAACCTTTGGCTGTACCACGGTTACTAAAAAACAGTTAGTAACTGTGGCTGTACAAACACAAAATCAAGTGCATCATAGACAAATCTTAATGAAAAATCATCAAATACACATTAAATTTTGATTTTTGTGCATTAGTCATCTTTAAATTGTTGATCAGAAAAATGCTGTATTTGATAAATAATGACACTCTAAGATGCTGAAAAATTCATCACAAAATAATCTTGGGAAACGCTTGATAATATGCAGCTATTGCAAAAGGCTTCTCATTTGGACTTCTTGCAAACACAGTAACCGTAAATATTATTACATCATATATATAAACGGCTTTCAATAAAAAATAGCAAATCATATTTATATGTTTATATTTCTGAAATTGCATTTTTGTTCCACAATACAAAATTATTTTATACTAGTAATAGCTTATATTTGTTTGATAATAGTAATTATAATAGTAGTATTCCTTGAAATATTTTCAAATTTATTTTATTACAGCTTGACCAACAATCTGAAAATACAAAATACAAACAATTACATCGGGGTTTTATACTAGCGGAAGACAATATGCTAAAGCTAATCTTTGTATGACTTTTTCATCTCATTCTAATACATACCAGTCTGGCGGCAATCCTAATCCTTTTGTAACCCCTATACCCGCTTCTGGATCTGTTGTAACACTTGACACTAACGCCATGCGATCATCAGCAACCTGCATTAAAATGAGTTAGAGACGAAAAGAGAATTTAAACTGAAAAAGTACATAGAGTAAATATTAAAGTTGTATAAATTACACAACAAATATTGCTAGAATAAAAGTTATTTAGTTGAAGTTCAATAATAGAATTGAGTTAAATATGCATAATTGAAAGTTAAATGTCAAAAACAAAAGGTAAATGTTAGTCAAGACATAGGACAGCATGCTGAAAATGCAGGGAAGTCCTTAGAAATGTGTTAATTTAGCAGTGTTTTGAATACAGCTCGGTTGATTTGGCTGTTGACTGTATTCTAAGAACAACTCTGACCGAGTGTGAGACAGGAGAAGAAATTCATACCTTATCCACACCATTACCAGAGGCAAGCAGAAAGATGGGAGTAAAAGCAGTTAAAAAGTCAGGAAATCAGGTTAAAAATATCATGTTATTTTCAAAGCCATGCCATCAACCAATATGTGTGTTGATCTTTCATTTGATAATTTTTTTCAATTGATTCTACAGTGTATATCTCTATTAAATATATTAAGTCTATGCTATGTTCATAACATTTTAATCCTGATGAATTCCTTTTTTGTACACCATCAAAACCAATCATGCAACTCTGTGTTCACGTAACAAGAACATCAGATTGTGAAACTTTCATATAAATATGATGCTACCAGCTCTGATCCACATACAAAAGTTCATTACCTATGAGTCATCATGCATTCAATGAATATTAAATTAGTGTGACATTTTTCTGTAGTGTTAATTAATTACCAGAGAACAGGTTACAAAAGTGGTTCCTAAATATGTATTTTATTTTTTGTTATTCCATTAAAATGAGAACATGCGAATAAGATTACATGTTGATACTTCTTTTAGTGATGATATTAACTATGCATCAAAATTATTCCACAAATATTGATGGATCGCAATATGCAAATTCTGGTCTCCTAGCTACCATTTACTGAATTCACGATCATCGCTTACATCTGCGAATTATTAACATCAAAAAGTCAATGCGATAGATAGATTCAGATCAGAGAAAATAAATCATGCAACCACCGGCCAAGCTCTCGCATCCAGAGACAATCTTGGATGATGGCATGCCCAGAACGATGAGTAAAAGTAGAATGGACCATGCTTATTAATAATGAATAAAATTATTCAATGAAACGTCCAAATGATGAGCACGGATACACTTAAGTTAACAGAACGGAGTCTGAAAACCGCTTTTACTCACCGCAGCCGCAGCTGAAGCTGAAGCAGAGACTGAGATGGTAGTAGGCCTATAGACTGTACTCACTTGCTCTGAGAAAATATGCCGATTTTGCATGGCATTGTTCCTCATAAGGATGAAAACTTCTGTCAAGCTCCGAGTCGCCATTCTGCTTTGCTTCTGGATCAACGCATTCACAATAATTATTGACAGAAATTTAGAAATATATAATATATTTTTTTGATATTGATGCCAATCTACACTTCCTATACCGCCATCTTTGATGTGAACGTCACCTCCCACAATCCTAAGCGAAAAGCCGGAAGTAATCGCGGTCATTTTGAAATCGATCAATCCATGATCACACACTGTTTATTCAGTATCTGAATATTCCACGAGCTATATTGTTAAGTCGGCGTACTGCGACACATGAGACATGACGATCATAAGATAATGTAGCTAAACCACGCCCACCTCACCCATCTGTAAACATGTCAACATTGAAACCAAAATTTTGGAAGCCAGGTAAGAATCACCGATATTTGTAAGTCATGTGACTAAAACTATACTATTTCTATAAGTTTTGATGTTGATATTAATCCAGTATTCATAAACATGAATACATTCATAAACAATTGATACTCATTAAAATTTAGAATTCATCATCTGGCATGTTGGTGAAATCGAAATTGGTCACGGTTGTTTTTCCAAATCATATTATCATGAAGTCTATTTCGTCTTAATTCAATTCAGTTTTATTATAAATGACCTATCAGAAGACTTCAACCTCAACACAGACCATATGCCAAAACTCAACAATAAAGCTATATCAAATCTGATGTATGCTGATGATATAGCCCTGCTGTCAAAGTCAAAGTCTGGACTCCAAGCAAACATCAACTCCCTACAACAATACACAGAGAAATGGGGCTTGGCAGTAAACACGGAAAAGACAAAAACAACGATGTTCACAAAAAACGGACATAAATCAGAGAATACTTTTTTCACATACAACAAATAATACTACAGAAGACAAATCAGTTTACATATCTGGGCATCAACATCAACTCCAATGGCACCATGACAAAAACAACACAAACACTGGCAGATAAAGCAAAAAAAGCAGAACGTAATCTATCAACAATCTACCCAAAAAAACAAGAACAGCATCAGATTGAAGACCAAACTATTTGATACTATACAACAACCTATACTATTATATGGCTAAGAAATATGGGGAATACATATAAACATACAACAATGGGACCACACAGACACTGAAAAATGTCACCTAAGACTCTGTCGCCAGATATTATCCCTAAACAACAAAAGCAGCAACATCTGATGTTGAATGGAATTAGGAAGACTGCCACTCTTATCCATAGTGCAACAAAGAGACATAAAATATTATCAGCACATCACCAAGAGTGGATCAATAACATTTGCATATGACGCTTTAATGGAGCTGAAACAACAATGTTATCCTAACTCTTGGCTGCAAAAACTCAACAACATCAAAACAACATACAACATAATAATAACTTTATTGCATCCTTAGAAATACAATGTTTCTATCAGTTAATAGCAATAAAGATTAGTTGTGATAACTACTACTGCAAAAAGAAAGTTAGTTGTTAAAAAAGATAAAGCAAGTGTTACATATCAAATGGCATTTTTATTTCTTGATTGAAATGCATTATGAATATAGTTGCC